TCACTGGGATTCAATTTCAATCCCATTTATTATACTTTTCTTCACTCAAATAATAAAGGACCATGTCCCTAATTTTTACAACAAAAGAAACATTTAAAAAAAAACTAAGTATGTTGTGACTATAGCTAGTACTATAATTTATTCCAATGATTTTTGTCGCTAAGCCAATCAGTGTTATGTGTACATCATAATATTTTCTATCACACACATGCACTAGGATTTCCAGGATGAGGATTGTACACAGTACTCGTTCGGTATTAAGGCAGTAAATTTATTTGAATTTAATACAAGTCCCGCTCTAAGAGAATGCCCAATTTTTGTAAAGCACGCAGTGTTTGCGTAAAGCCACCGAACTCAGAATATCATCCCCCACTGATGTCATATTGTTTCTTCCTATCATTGCAAGCGCTTAGATGGGCTTAGAAAAAGTCAAAACAAGGAAACGCGCTTCAATGGATGTTTATGCCACGAAAATAGAGCTTCAGACAATAGCAAATTCTGCGAGTTAACTGTTCTTTGGATAAATGCTGACACAGATTCGAGAACAACTATGGTAAAGCGTTAATTCATACGAAACGATGTTCTCGTACAAAAAAAAAACGAGATTTGATATTTATAAAAACAATTCTCTAATTGATAAGGTTACGCGCTTAATGGCATTTTTTGCGAAGACGAAACTCACATGAGGTTCGTCACTTTGAAAAACCAAATCTTATTTTTTTCTTGGAAATTGTATTATCGTCGAAATTCTAATTGCTATCTGCTCTAGTTCTTTGAAAAGACTAAGAAGTAAGCAGGATTGGCAATTTTTCTAGGCTCACCGCCTTCCTGCTTAGTCGAAGCTTGGAAATTGAGGAGCAGATTAGATTTACCGCTAAAATCTTTTTTTTCCAAAAGTAATAAGACAATAGAAAGAGCGGTCACATCTCTGTACTTTTGGGGTAGCGTTAGTATAAAGGGAAATTTCGAATCGGGTCAGTCACTTTGAATAAGAATTCAGCGTGCCAAAAACTTGCAAAAATCGAGTATGGAACGTCAAATTTTAAATTCTAATTCTCCTGGCTAATATTAATGCCGCTAACTACAGTTCCCGATTTAATCGATCACAGTTGTGAGATCATTTTTACTATATGAATATAAAAAATTATCAAATGACAACAAACCTTCTTTTTCTTTACGCTTTGCTTGTCTTGAATTTCTGTTGTAGATTTCAGGGAGATCGTGTGCTCTTGCAGTCTGAAATTAGAGGAAGATAGAAGCAATAAAAAATTTTCCAATCTTTACATATGTGCATGCATTTCAGCAAGATTATATGTCATACTAATAAGTTTGCCAGGTACATACGTTTTCGTTAGATGTAATTAATTTTTTTTTGGTAATTCGACTCTGACTTCCGTGATTAATTCTTTATTTTCCTTATATTTAATTTAGGGTTTCTCAACTTAAAAAGTCGCTGCTCTATTTCGTAATCATTAGCTCCGAAAAGGGTGTCCCTATACTTGAACCAGTGGACAGCG